GTTAGTTAGTTAGTTAGTTCCACCAAGAACCAGTTGTTTCCGTCAGAAATGATTTCTTTAGGCAAAATATTTTTGAAATTTTTCATATAACTTGTAATTCCTGTTCAATCAATTATGAAAGTTCAACAAAAATAGTTTTATTTTTTTCCTTTTTATGACCAAGTATTCCATAATATAAGTATTCAATATGTTTTGTTTTGTATTATTGCAACATACAGCTACATTATCTCTAGTTGGCGTCTGTATCATCAGCTGTTTTGTTAATGTGAGCCTAAAGTCGGACTTTTCATGGCTGCTTCGGGTTTTTTAAAATAATATTTTAACTCACACATAACCAGAGATTATTTAATGGACTTGTACAATATTACAGATTGTGAATCAATGACGTGATGAAAAATAACAGATAAAAGTTCAAACTTTTATCTTAAAACGTTTCTGAGATATTGTTGCTCAAACAGCCTCAAATTGAAAGTTGGTCGGTAGTTAACATTTTAAATGATCCTGTATATATTTGATATATCAAATGCTTCCACAGACATCATTTTAAATATCCATGTTTTATGCCATGATTTAAACATATATGTTTTGTTTTTTTAGGTAAATCAGAAATTGTTCAGTAACTTTCTTATTGAAGACAGAATGATCTACTTCATCAGTTTCACTGTTTTGTTAAATACAGACAAAAACTTGTGAAGTTACAACAAAGCACTAATTTACACATTAAAAGCTAAACAAAAGTTGACATCTGTAAGCAGGACATGTTACTGTGAGGTGCTGTTCACTTACAAGCCATCTTCAGGTAGTTCTCTCTGAAAAAGCAGCAGATCAGAGGTGATTAAAACGTGATTTTTCTGCTTTGATTGGAAACTGTGGTAACATTCAGCTAAATAAAGTCAGATTTTCTGTTTTGAAACATCAGTTCCTGACACACCATCATTTGATCTGAATGATGGAATTACATGAAACTATGAAACATGACAAAATATTCTTCAATTTGAAAACAATGCAAAAAAAAAAACTCTTCAAACTTACCTGACGAATCACTTGAAGGATGCTGTTGAGGTTGAAGGCGACTTTGGTGAAGTGCTGAACCCGCTCTATAAATACTGTAAAAGGAAGAGACCGCCCAGTGTGTGTGTAACTGAGAGTGAGGTTCAGCAGTGTGTGTTGTTTGTGAGGGAGTCCTCATAAAGATAGACAAGTACAAATATGTGGATGATTAAGAAAGAAACTGAAAGAATATTTGAAAGTCATCAACAGGAAACTTGAGGTCAGTGAGAGAAGTTGGAAAACTTTCCCAAACACACAGTTTAGCATCTGCTTCAGCGCATGTTGGATTCTACAGCAGTCACGGCCCACAAGGAAATGTGTTGTTAATTTAAATGTACCACTCTATCACATATCAGATCAAATATCTCTAATACTTCCAGTTTAAATGGTGATGTTTGCTGTATTTATGCTCCAGATGTTCCGTTCACAGATTCGACCAGACCAGCCTGTGTGTCAAGATAAAGACACTACATAAAGAACATCACTCGTTAATGACGCCTATTTCCATGTCAATATCACCTACAGACAGCAAAACAGAACATGCTGGTCAAAATAAAAAGCATATTTTTCATGTTTGGTCCGAGGATTCGAAACTATGTAGTCCAGCGGTAAAAATACGAGTTCAGCATTGAATCAGCTTGATACGGATCCCTTTTAATTCATGTGAATCTTTGATTGTGGCAAATGAACACAAAGAGACTCAAAATGAACACAAAACCACAATGAGAGGAAAGTCTGAGAGCAAAAAAACAGATCCGGAAAGAAATGGAAATGTTGAAAAGTAGGTCTAAAATGAATTTAAATAAAAACAAAATGAGACAAAAGAATCGCTGTGAGAAACAAGACGACTAAAAAGAGACACAAACAGGCAACAAAAACACACAACTGTTGAAAAAGAGAAGGAAAATCCACATATTTCATCCAGCGTCCACAATCACTCGTTGTTGTTTTTTTACTGTTAATCTTGATGGAAGATAAAGAAAAAGCATCTTTTAAGTGAAAATCTTTGATGTTTTATTGACAAAATGAAACGTCTGAACAAGAAAAATTCAACTTTTCTGCCAATTTTTTATCTCCTTTCAGCAAAAAGCAGCAACTCTTCTCCTTATGACTGTTGAAATAAACAAACTCCAGAAGACACAGTTAGGCACACAATCTGAGTCTGAACTTTGTTTAGATGTTTCTGTTTCTTTTATGGTTTAAAATTAGGTCTTAACCTCAGACATGCATTATTTTTCTATCTTAAAAGGTTCTTGAATAAACAAACAATAAATTACAAATAAATCAGTAGTTGGTTCTGAAACACCAGGACCAAAAAAAAACTGACAAATAAAGAATGAACACTAATAATCATGAGCAGCAGCAGAAAGTCAATTAATCAGAGTGAAATCATATTTCAGCATTAAAATGATAAAGATGTTCTAATCGATCCAGATCTATGAGGGGCCGTATCGGCCATAATTCATTCTAACACTCTCACATACATACATTCTGAATATATGTACGCATGTATGTGAGAGTAAGAATGTATGTATGTATGAGAAAAAGTTTAGTGGAAACGGGTTTTGGAGGAAATGGAAGGCAGGCAATTTATCGCACTGTGATTGGCTGAGAAGCAGGAACGGGGTCACATTTGGGTCCCGCTCGAAATGGATGGAAGAAATGAAACAGGAGCACTGCAAGAGGCCACTGGTGTCTTAAGAAATATTTTATCATCTCCTGAAGGCATTACTTCGTTGTCTTCGTCTCTTGAACAACAGAGGACGGGCTCGTCTGTCCCTAACAGACAGTCTTTAAAATACGAGACTCAGAAACACTTTGGCAACTGGACGTCCCGACCAAGGATAATAAACCAGTTAAAAGGACGTCTCTGTTCTCACACCTGCTTCTTTGTCTGGTTTCATATACATTCAGCAAAAATCGTAGACATCCATATAAAGACTCTAACATATCAACCAATTCTCACTTTCTTGAGTCTTGAACAAAACTTGGGATTGTCAGGAATCCAGATAAGATGTGAATATGATCACGAAGGTCTTCATGGAGCCTCTGATGAACAAAATCTGTGGGTTCTCTTTGTATTTGTTCAATACATCCCAAGACATTCGCAAAAAAACATCTGATATAATTTTCATTGCTTCTTACTTCCAAAGTGAAAAACAGTAGAAAAGAAAGCACAACGACTTTAAATAGCATCATTGTATTATGTTGTTCTGTCTATTATTACCACGTCTGGACATGCTGAGCAAGTCTTGTTAAAGAATTTCCTGGTTTGAGAGTAACTTCCTGTACAGGGAAGAACTTCCTGTGAGGGGGAGAATGCATGTGTGTAAGTGTGAGAATGAATACGGCCCCTCATACAGATCTGTAAGTGTGTTTTCTCACCTGTAGTGGGCGACAATGAGAAAAATCAACGCATGCAAACAATAAAATGTTTCAGAAAGTTTTGTATTTTAGTAGAAAGAAATGAAAACAAAGCAACAAGTAAATCAGTCGTCACAGAAACCTGGTTTAAACAGAAACCCCTCTCAGCTCTTGAGGATAAAAATCAGGCAATCAATATGTAATCTGTTCCTGAGTTCCTCTAATGCTGAGTTTTATTAATCAGACCGTCATTCTTGTGTTTAGATCAGAGAAGAACATTAAATGTAAAGTTTTTCAGAAGCAGGTATTTGGCTGTTTAGTGGAGAGAGACAGGAAAGGAAGGAGCAGAGACCTGCAGCGGGATTCAAACTCACAACTGCTGTGTCATAACCCCTGCTCATGGGTCGCCATCTTATCTTGTTGAGCTATTGGGGCGCCCCAAAAGTAGGGTATTATATCTATGAAGCTGATGGAATAAAAACAGAATTTACAGTGAAGTTGCAGAATGAACAAAGTTTTATTTGCAGAGGAAATAACAAAGGACCAAATATTGATCCTTGTGGGACACCTCTGCATCTTTGGAAGCCACGTTCACTCCATTTTTAAATGTACTTTAGACTTGGATTTAGACTAGTTTCAAACTTGGATTTAACTTGTTTTTGGCTTAATTTTAGACTGGTTTTCAGACTGAGTTTAGACTGTTTTTTGACTGATTTTGGACTGGGTTTAAACTTGGTTGTAGACTTGGTTTACACCAGATTTTAGACTTTGGTTTAGACAGGTTTTGTTCTTACTGGCTTTGTACTTGGGTTTAGATTGTTTTTGTACTGGTTTTAGACTTGGTTTTGGAGCAATTTTGGACTGGTTGGACTGGGTTTTGGATTTGGTTTTGCACAGGTTTTAAGGCTAGGATTAGACTTGTTTTACACTTAACTGGTTTTGCATTCATTTTAGACTGGGTTTAGACTTGGTTTTATATTGGTTCTGGACTAAGTTTTGGAATTGGTTTTGGAGTGGGTTTAGACTTGATTTTGAACTTGGTTTAGGACTTGGGTTTCAACTAGTTTTTAGACAGTCTTTCACTGGTTTTGTACATGGGTTTAGATTATTACTGGACTGGTTTTAGACTAGCTTTGGAACACATTTCGTGCTTATTTTGTACTTGGGTTTGAACTTGGTGTTATACTAATTTTAGACTAGTTATAACCTGGTTTCAGACTGGTTTTAGACTTGGTTTAAACTGATTTTGTACTGGTTTCAGACCTGGTCAGCTCATTATGAGTAAAACCTGACATGAATCCCAGAAGTCCATCTTTCTGAATCACATCATCTTCCACCATCATCGCCCACCTTACTGAACAGGTGAATCTCTTCTGCTCAAACTTATTTACGTCTTTTTGGTCAATCTTCTATTACTTTTCCTGTAAAACCGGCTCAGAACCAATGCGGTTTTCATCTCCACCTGCTGCTGTTTGTTCGTCAGAGCTCGTCCTGAGGACAAACTGTGTTTTCCTGTTCTGTCAGCAGCATCAGTCACTCTGTCCTCTAGTTCAGGCTGACACTGAAGGTTAAACTCCTCCTCCTGCTCAGTGTCGGTCCGTTTGATTGGTCGTGCTGCCTTCAGGTTTTAAAGCAGAGCGTCTGAACAGCCTGAAGGCTCCTCTGCAGATCAGAGCGAACCAGTAGAGCTGCAGGGGCCACAGCAGAGCGGCCCCCAGGTTGCACTGCCAGGGGGCCACCAGGGGAACCGCCAGCAACGGCAGCGACGCATACCTGCCAACAGGGGGCGCGGTGGTCAAACACACAACACCTTCTTTTTTAAATTATTGCTCCCCTCAAGCTAGTGCCGACTATTTCAAACTCTGAATTATTATTTAATGCAACGTATTTTACTTTATTACATCAATTATTTGACAAACAAACAGCAAACATGCAAGAAGTTGTTGTCTTTGTTATATTATTATAGAATAAATCTGGGGGGTGGGGTTACCTGCTGTAGGCGTAGTACAGGTAGGGAAAGAGTAAAACCCGACAGCCGAAGAAGGTGAGCATCATGACGACTCCGTTCACTTTGTGCAGCAGAGTGTGTTGCTTCTTATACTGAGATTGACAATAAATGACACAAAGATATAAATAAACAAACTTCTAACTAAAACGTCAAATAATATCAGGGTTCCAATTCTAATAATTGAGACGAAGTGTGTCCCATTTGTTTTTTGGCTTTTTTGCCTTTATTAGATAGGACAATCGAGAGAGAGATAGGAAAGTGGGGGAGAAGAACGGGGGAAGGACTTGCAGCAAAGGGCCATGAGCGGGATTCAAACCCATGACCACTGCATCGGCGACGATAGCCCCTGTACATGGGCCGCTAGTGTCCCATTAAAGGTGTAATCTAATAAGAATAATGATTCATTTTATTTGTATAACGCTTTTCAAGAAGTCAGATGCTTCACAGGATAAAAGCAAAAAAGCAATAAAAGCATTAAACAACAAGCAACAAATACAAAGGTAGACAATATAGAAATACAGCAAGCAGGAGAAATTTTAAAAAATGTTGGAGGTTTGGTTACCTGGATCAGGACTTTTCCCAGAGACACTGACGGTGTGCTGAGCTCCGCCAGAAACAAGACGCCCTGGAAGTAATCGCCTTTACCCTGCCTCCACAGCTGGAACACAAACAGGGTTCATGTGCTGGATCTGAATCAGATCGTGTAGAGTTCATGCGACTACAATACAGCCTGAAAGAAGCTGCAGATCAGCGTCAAAATAATAGTTTTAAATGCAGGAAAACAGTGTAAACGGGTAAACATGCAGGTTTTAACTTCGTTTCAACCTGAATCACAAACTGAGAGTCTGACTGATGCTCAATTTAAAAGGCAGGAGAACTTTCTGAAAGTCTTGAGGACATTCACATCAGTAACATCTGGAAAACAGGATTTATGAAGAGGAACTGTAAATAAAAATGTGATTCAATAACAAATGTCTTGGGCTGGGTCTTTAGACTGGGTTTAGACTGGATTTTGGACTAGTGTTGGATTAACTCTGTACTTGGTTTTAGACTTTCACTTGTGTAGACTGGTTTAAACTGGGATTTGTGCTGGGTTTAGACTTGATCTTTTCCTTGGTTTCGGCCTGGGGTTGGACGTGGTTTAACTGTGATGTGTACTTTGTTGAGACACTGTGTTAGAGCTGATTTTGGACTGGGTTTAGACTGATTTAGACTTGGTCTTTTACAGGCTTCAGACCTGATTGTAGACCGGATTTGTTTTAGACTTGTTTTTAGGGTGGGGTTTTTTTTTTGGCTGGTTTTTGAACTGGCCATTTACAGGGTTTAGATTTGGTTTTAGATTTTGTTTTCTGATAGGTTGAATCTTGTTTTAAACTATTTTTTTTAGCTTCGTATTTCACTGGGTTCAGACAAAGTTTTGGACTGGTTTAATTGGAATTTGTACTTGGTTTAGGCTTGGTTTTAGATCAGACTTCAGACTGGGTTTTGACTTAGATTTCAACTTGTTTTGGGCTTGCATTCGACTAATTTTAAACTTGGTTTTAGACTACGTTTTTCTGTGATTTTCAGATCAGTTTTAGACTTGATTTTTACTTGGTTTAGACTTAGCTTTGGGCTGGTTTTGAACTTGGTCTTTTGACAAGGTTAAGCCCAGATTTTAGACTAGTTTTGGACTTGATTTCATTATGATTTATATTTGGTGTTAATGCTGATTTGATACTGAATTTAGACTTGGTTTTGCTCTTGGTCCTTTGACTGGATTTAAGCAGACTTTTGACAGGTTTTGGACTTGTTTTGGTCTCACTTTAAGCTTGTTTAAGCCCTACCACCCCCTTGAAACCTCAGGTTATCTTAGTTCTTTAGAACAAGAATGATTTCAGCAGCCTGTGTAGACATTTCAGAAAACCTCAGATCCTCTGTTAAATATACTGTGTGTAAAGCAGGCGTTGTGTTTTGTCTTGTTGGTGGCGCTGCAGTAAAGCTCAGCATGGAAGCATCACTGTCAGTGTTGCCATAGTTACCAGTGATGCAGGGAAGCAGAAGGCCACCATGAAGATGTGATGCAGCACCATGAGATACTCTTGGCGCAGGTAACCCCACACCGCCGCTCGCATCGAGCCGCCACCGGGCTCCGCCTCCTCGTGACCTTTGACCTGCAGCTTGTGGTGGTAACACAGGAACATGGCGTAGATGTCATAGGCGAAGTACGGCGTCGCAAACAGGATGTAGGCGTCGGTCAGCCAGTGTCTAAGAATGAAACAGGACCAAAGAGAGTCATAAAGATCACCTCTGATATGATCAACAGGAACGAGTCTAACTGAAACTTTAAACCTCTGGTTTGCTCTAAAAACAAAACCATTTTGCAAACTTGACTGTAAACTTGACTTTATGGAACAGTGGTGATTAAACAAACAACCTTTAAGTTGAAATCAGGAAACAAATAGCTCTCCTCTGAGTTCAGGTCCTGTGTTTTGTCGACCCGTCCATCGACCAGACCTTCTCCTTTTTTCCCATAAGAACTACTGCAGCCACCAGAGGGCGCCGTCACTACTAAAAGTAGCTACAGGTGTTAATGAGGCAGAAAACTTCAGTCCAAAACCAAGTTTGAAACTTGTCTAAACCCAGTTTGAACAAGTAACTCCACGTCAAAATCCAGTCTAAATCTAGTCTAAAACCCAGGTTGAAACTAGTCTAAAACAAAGTCCAAAATCCAGTTTAAACTAAGCCCAAAGCTAAGTTTGAAAGCAGTCTAAAACCTAGTCTGAAAAGAGTATAATACCAGTCTGCAAACAAGTCCAAAACTGGTCTAAATTTAGGCCAAAACCAAGTTTAATACCAGTCTAATACAAAGTTTGGAACCAGCCTACAACGAAGTCCACATCCAGTTTAAATCCAGTCTAAAATCAGGGTTGAAACCAGTCTCAACCCTGTCCAAAGCCAAGCCTGAAACCAGTCTAAACCCAGTCTCATGAAATCAGTCCAAAATAAAGTCCAAATCCAGTATGAACTCAGTCTCAAACTAAGTCTGAAAGCAGTTGAACAGAGAAGAACATATATGAGCGAGGAGGTTTTTAAGGGTTAAAATACGTAAAGGTGAAGAATGTTGAAAAAAAGAAACCATATCGTTGAATTAGCTCTGATGTACTTTTCCTACTTGGACTTGATGTGTTTGTTCTCACTGCAGCAGGACTTTTACTGGACTATTTATGAACAGTTTTATTAAACTGAAGTTAAGAGTCTCAAAACGTTTCCTCCTGCTGCTAATGGATTTTCTTAAACAGAAACCTGCTGCAGGACTCTTGGTGTTTAGTGTTTGCGCTGCAGGTAAACAAACACCTGAATCTCCCAGAGTTCTTTGCTGCTCGCCGCCTCAGTCTGTGGTGTAATTTGATAAACAAATGCAGCTGAGAGTCGAACCTCCACTTTGACTGTGAAATGAAGAAGCTCCGGACGTCCGCTGCTGATTTCTGCCTACAAGGTTTCCCATAATGCTCGGCGGGAGGATTAGTGATCCTGCAGACTGAAATAGATTTACTGCTGCTAACAGGAGAATTAACTCAGAGTGTTAATTAGATTATAGACTCACACTGAGACACAAACTCCACAGTGCAAACATGGAAATAAAAGCCGAAAAATTACCTTCTACTTGCATCTTTAATATCTTTTCTATAGAAGCAGGTCTGAGGCAGCGGTGACAAAAAATAGGATTAAAAATCAGGTTTAATTCCTGAATAGAAACCCTGATTTCTGGGATGAAACAGCTGAAAATCTGAGCTGGAAAACAACTAAACTCATTCTAAATATTTGTTATTTTAAGTATTTAATTTGCCAGCTAATTACCTGCAAACTTTTTGTTTGTTTGTTTGGTTTTTTCTTAGAAAAAAAGGCTTCAGATCAGTAAAAATATCACTAAAATATTTATACTAATGTCAGTTTAATAACTATTTTTAGGCTCAACAACTACAAGGAGACGGAAAATGACCAAAAAAGAGACACAAAATAACAAAAAACAACCTTGAATTGGGATTAAATTCATAATAAGTGAAAAATCTTCCTAAAATCTTCCACACTGATGTCAGTTTATTAAGTATTTGTCACTTAACTGGTTCGTTTTTATACCAATCAGGTGATTAATAACTGCAGAAACCTTTCTTTATTTTTCATTATCGGCACCAAACTGCAGAACATTCTTGGAAATCTGCTCTTATTTACAGCAAGACAGGAACTAAGTTGTTGAAAATAAGCAACTTTTTATTTTTCAACAGAAGCTGCAGAAAAATAAAATAAAAGTTAACAGTAATAATAATTCAAATATAGTATTTTTAATAAATGTTTTACCCCAAAATATCAAAAATGAAGATCTTAACCCCTGAGAAACATTTACAGGATACAGCTGCTGATATTACATATATTTCACATTTTAATTTACCAAAATCCATCTTTTCAACCCTCTGGTTCCTGCTGAAGATGTAACTCTTTGAGAACATCTCACGTATGTATGTAAGCTCCTAAAATTGCTGCTTTTTAAAAAATTGAAATCACCCAAAACTAGTTGTCAAAAAGACAACATGAGATCAGAATAAAGTGACACATGTTGTCACAGAATGAACTTTTCTGTGCTGAGTCAGCAGACAGTTGGTTTCATTGGTGCAGCCTCACCTGTCCTCCATGACGTCCCTGCAGCTCGAGGTGATGATGACTCCGGCCGATGAAGCCATGATGGCCTGAACAGACGAAACCAAACTGACAGAACCAAAAAAAAAACAACCAGATCAGTGAAAAAGTCTGAAATGCGTTCATAAAAAACTGAAAAGGGCCACTATATCTGTTGGTTTCAGTCAGCAGAGCTTCAGACTGAAAAGTTTAACGATTTTAAAAGTGCTCGTGATGAAGCATCTGTTCGAATCTTCAGCTGAACCAAATGTTTAGTTTGAAAACACAAAGATTCAGTCGCTGTGAATCACTGTGACAGTTTGAAGCTGGTTGAAGTTAATGTTCAGATTTGTTGTCGCAAAATTGATCAAATGACCACAAAGAGACACAAAACAACCACAAACACAAAATAACTACGAATAGGCACAAAACAGCCACAAGGAGACACA